GACTCCTCTTCCATGCAGAATCTAAGTTGGTTTTTTTCAGTCTTTCTAACGCATTCCAACTAAGTGCCACAAATGCAAGAATCCAGTTGATATTGTAAATCTTCAAACCAATAAGAAGCCTACAAATTTAAATGCACGTCTCCTCAACTTTATACTCCCACATTTGTAGTGTAACATAAATTATATACCTGTGGATTCACGTCCAAGATGCAGGTCCTTCCTGTCTGAACAACTTCAAGGATGGAATCAATTTTGGTCCCATAAAGATTGCCTTCATATTCCCCATGCTCTAAATATCTGCCAGCTTTAATATCCATCTCCATTTCAGCTCGTGACACGAATCTGTATGCTTGCCCATCCTTTTCATCATCCCTTGCCTTTCGTGAAGTAACTAAACAAAAAATTTAAAATATAAATTGAAGGTTTTCTTTTTATATTTGGAATACAAATACAAGACTGGACTGCCTATTAAGTTAGGGAGAGTATAATATACATTAATATACAAATATAATTGTTCCATATATAGATTAATTAATTATTCTAGTGTAAGTTTCAAAACTGAGCACAGCCCCTCATGTTCCCTTTCTTTCTATTCTTTCCTGTACGTTGCTTACTCACCCATGTGCTTATTTCCTTTATATTACTCCTTCACACCACATACAATACTCATTCATATAATCTTTTTAATCATTAACTTAATAAAATAATTATTTAAGTTACTTAGAAATCAAATGGAAATTTAACTCTCAAATGCCAAATGTACTTCTGAAAATAAATGAGCACACATCAAAATCGGCCCTGCCCTTTCGCCCAGACCTCAGCACTGTATTTGCTCGCTGTATTTACACTGTTATTTTGGGTAGAATTACCTGACCTAGCTATAAAGAAAGTTAGCTTAAATATCAGAAGTCCAGGCATCATGGCAGAGTCTTAGTGGAGGCCAGCTGATGCTGCTTTCCAGGACAATTTACCCTTTAAAGCCAGATAAATTTACTGCAGAGAGATTAAAGCCAATATTTAAGTAAAACATTAGCAGCTATCTTGGGTATTAGCTATACTGTGCAGTACAGACATAATTTAAGAAAGGGAAAGGGAAAAAGATCAGGTTATTACAGACTTTGCTGTCCTATCACCATATTATTTGCCCAGTACTTGCATTTAATTAGATTTGAACTCTAGGATAAATTAAACATAACACAATGATAATAACTGTATCACCACTTGGTGACGTTTCACCACTTTGTGCAACTTGATGATCCAAGTGGAAAGCATTCTCCCCCTTCTCGTAATTCCTACCAGCTTCATTATTATAGAAAACTCAAGTCCCAGGAGAAATTACCTTCTGAAGCTCTTAGCAGCAAACATTACTAGAATATCTTGTTTTAGCCAAGATTCTACAGAAAAATTAAAACTATAATGGTTAATACAATACCAAAAAAAAAGTCTTATCAGTTTGAAATAAATTTTGCAGAATGAGCTTTAACAGTTTACAGCCAGAAGATGATTTAACAGCTCAGTTATCCACACTTAAGAAAAAACACAGCAGCTTTTGCTGGATCAGAACTCAACACCAAGACATGCTTCACCCCATAGCAAAATTGATCTTTTTCAGCCATTTAAAAAAAACAAACAAACAAAACAAAACATCACACATATTCACTTGTGAATAACCGGGAGAATTTTCTCCTAATCAAAGAGACTGAGGCTAACTAAGATTACTGATTATCCTACTTAAAATCTAAAGTAGAGAGGAGATTCTATATACAATAAACTATGTACTGTCAGATTACTAGGTTGGAAAGTTAATTTTTATGCCTTTGAAGGGTGTTCATGAGCTCCAATTAAAAGCATTTTAACACTCTGTTGCATTACTTATATATATTTAAGCACCTACATGGCATTTTAGAGAAATCAGTAATTTTCAGAGAATTTTAAAAGGGAATAAATAATTTTAGAAGAAATAAAAAGTTTCTTACTATTTTGCCAATATAAAACAGTAAGATTCCCAGGGGAAGATGTCTTTAAAAAAGTAACACCAAGAAGTCAATCTTGTTATCAGTCACACATACCAATTCTTAGTGCTAGTGCCCCTGCCAGTTTTGGTGTTAGAGATTCAGCAAATGACAGAGACTGGTTCTCTCACATTGCACAATTTATCCTTCAGACCTGTCCCTTCTCCCCTATTATCAGATCTACTTCTTGCCCACTGAAATCAGAAGGGAACAGACTGTTTCTGAAATTCTGAAAAGCAGGTGGCAGGAGGAGAATAATAATGTAGCTAGGGTGGACTTCTCTGGTCAGCAGTCAAACAGGAGGGGGCAGTTAAAAAAAATAAAGATATTGTGAATGAGCAAAGTAACTCTCTGGAAGGGAGGCAAGAAAACAAGAGTTCAGCAAGGGAGATTTTTTTCTGAAGTTGATAGGGAGAAAAAAAGAAAGATAATGGGCTTGAGGCTAGATGTATTAAACACCAGATTATCATACAAATCTCACAAACACTTCAGTTTTACTGGAAGTTTGTTGCTTTTCC